CAGAATGAATGCAAAAAAAGTTTGTGTGCAATATGCTGAGTATGTATACATTGCTGTAACGTTTTATATCAACAGCTACAAAGACTATTTTAGACCACACATACTTTAGCTAACAACTGACTATTCTGGCGTTCACCGCCAAGAAAGCATCACTGTAATTGACGGTCTAACTATAGCTTACAACCCTGAGTTTGTTGAATTTTGACAGGGTTGGGAACCTGTGGCCTGAGAAATCACCCCACATGGCCGTACGCTGCCACCCTGAAATTGGTGGCTGAATCGCTGCCTAAATTACGTCTTTAACTTTTAAGAATTTGACAGCTTGCTGAGAAAAAGAAAAGTGCCAGACATTTTCAGGAACAATTGTAACATTAAAAAGCAATTGTTTTACAGCGCAGCTTTATAAGTATCGCATGAATACAACAAGCGTGGCTACACGCCACACATATCTTTGCTAAATATAAACTGGCAAGGAACGCCTTGATACACGCTTATCGCAAAATAGACTATATCCCAATGTTAAACCCCGCGATCACAGACATTAGCAAAGGCCGGATATCAATGCACGGCCTTGTCAGTCCGGCACAAATATTGTTTTAGCATTTTGACAAAAAACGTGTCATTAGGACGTGCAGTCTCTTTGTTTGCCAAAACCTTGGTTGATTACTTTGAAATAAACTATACGATTTTGCAACATGTGTAATTAAATGACGGTCAAGATTATGTAAATTGCATTTTGTAAAGTTTGTGTTGTTTAAAGTTCGCTAATTGGCAAATAAAAGTGGGTATCACGGATATAGTCTGTAGCATTATTCGAGGTTTCAACTGAAGCGCCGCACATGGGACAAATGGCTATTATGTGTAGTGTAATGCTTTTGTGTTATATTGTAAAGCTGATGAATATTAATTCAACTTGCCTGTTCCCATGACAATACCGACGTTTATATAATACCACCGAGCAAACATGTGCAAAAAACTGACAGAACAAAGACAACACCTAGAGCAATAAATATAACTAGATACATATGTAATTAGTACCTGAATCGCAATCAGCTTACTCACCGCCAACTGGCAACCAAAAAGATAAGTCTAAAAATAGCATAGCAATCATCAGAGCAGCAAAAAAATGTCGCAACCCGGGCTTGAACCGGGGACCTTGTGCGTGTGAGGCACACGTGATAACCGACTACACCATCGCGACTCGATTAATTGGAATCAAGTTGAATTCCAAGCTAATTGCAGTGTCTTACTGCCTGTTAACATTTCTTTTTCATGATACATAAACCGCAGCATTTAATAATTACCGATGCGTACCGCTCTATATTTGTTAAACCGACAGCGGTATTGCCTTATCTCTACCCAAAGTAAGTGCATAAATGTACAATCAACATATTCAAGACTGACTATTTATACTATCTGTATTTGTTTATACTGTAAACATTTTTTAATATTATCTGCATCAATAGATCTAGTTAAATAGAACGAGCTACACAGCAAACATATTTTATAAACAATGTTGAAAACTAAATACCAGACAACTTTTTTATATTTAGCTGTAAATAATAAAAACTCAAGTATTGACTGGCTCAGTAACCAGCGTAGCTGTGCCAACAACATGTGGACACACTTTATACATTACATTTTGTTTCGGCACACTGGGTTGCACGTGATTTACATCCAACGGACGATCTGTATACCGCAACCGCGTACCGTCTTGCGTGGGCTGACGGTTCATCGTATACTGCGACTCCGTATCCGACTCATACTCATGGTTTACTTGCCCCGGCTTACGTGCGTTAGGATACCGTGGGCTAAACGTCTCTGGATTGACCAACTCTGCCCGCACAAGTTTGATAGCATCCAAGTCAATCGCCGAACTCTCCGCTTCTTGGAAAATACGCGAATCAAAGTGCATATTGCTGCGAGTAAGCACCCGCCAAATCCGGCCCACCCACATAATCCAAATCATCCAGCATAAAGCCAAACTGCCACGAAACACTGTACACGCTGTAGCCGCGCCATCTGTTGTAACGCCAGGGTTCAAGTCCCCGGCTTTTATATTACGCTCCACGCACTGTTTTATTTCATTGCGGAATACAAATGCCGTGTTAGACATAGTAAATGATACCGACAGCCACCACGTTGCCATCAAACAACACACAATGTGTTCGATGCTCGTGTTGGCCAGCCGTTTGTACAGTTTTGCAGTGTCCTGCGGATCGCGGATAATTAGCATTGTGGAAAACGCATAGACGGCGCTAACCACCATTGTTACAATAGACGAGGTCACCACGAGTACGCCTGTAAACGCGCCGTTGGTGCGCATAAACTTTGTGTTGCTCCAGCTGCTGCTGAGCATAGCCAGGTTGACCAAGGACATGAGACTAATTATAACATATGCAAGTGCGCGCAACACTGGTCGTGACTGTGTGATAAACGCGTCGGCTCCTTTCAGCAGCGACTTTGCCATTCATATATATTTAAAAGCGAATAGGTTAAAAGAAAAGTGCTGTTCTCCGCATTGTTGC